CTCTCCCCCCCCTCTCCTCCCCGCCCTCCCCAAGTCTTATGGCAAATCTTGTTCTTGTCAGCTGTTGGAAATGAAGGAAAGTTGCAGACACTAACTCAAGATGTGAAATCAGCAATATTGCCAGAGGGAAAGTGGAAGAAGGGCGAAAGACCCACCTGGTGCTGAGGCTGCTGCCCGGACCTTCCATCCCAACACTCCACCCTGCCAGGGCCTGGGAGGGAGAACTCTGATCCCTCAGCCTCTCCACCTGCTTCCACACTGGCTGCTCTGGCCCAGAGCAGAAAGCAGGAAATTGGTCTGAGTAGTAACTTACCGGGCAGGGCTCCACCCCATGGGGAAAAGAAAAATGAAAGTATTTTTCTAATTTCAGACGTGCTGCTCTGAGACACGCCCCTCCTCTTCCTTTCCGGAAATTTGGGGGCAGGGAGGGGGACGAGGAACCTGGAGGACTCGGGAGGGGGACACCAGGATAAAACAGGATTAGTCCCGTGCTTGTGCAAAGACAGACACAAATCCGCTCAAACCAAAACTGTTCTCAGCTGCTCCTTCATTTAGGAGAGCCACAGAGCTCATGTGGGGTGGGGAAGAACCCATGTTTGCGTGCCTCTGCCTGCTGTAGCCAGGGTGGGGACAGGGAAGGTCAGAAGACCCAATGCTTTCCAGTCCTCTCAGGCTGGCAGGACAGTCTAGAATAAACTAAGTGGGACCCTGAATTCGGGACACAGCTGGAGAGAGTGGAAATGCCCAGCATTAGAATGGGGAGAAGGTTCTCAGCATTCCTAGAAATCAGGCAGAGGTAAGGACTCTCCACGACAGCAGATCACACTGGAAGTGCGTTGACCATGGAATAAAAGTACCTGAGCAACGGATATATCACTGGGATTCCATCGTAGTTACCATTGCTGTGATAAAATACCCCCACAAAGAAATTTAAGGAAGGAAAGGTTTATCTTGACTAACAGTTGAAGATACAGACCCTCGTATGGGGAAGTCATGGTGGCTGAAGCTTGAGGCAGCTGGTCACATTCCATCTCAGTTGGAAAGCAGAGATGAATTGTGCTCGGCTCACTTTCACCTTTTTATACAGTCTAGGATCCAGACCTAGACCACCCACAACCTGTTAGGTTAATTGAGCTGGGAAGACCAATTAACCTAATCAGGATATACACCCCCCTCCCCAGGTAAACCCAGAGACCCATCTACCAGATGATTCTGGATCTCATCAGGTTGATTATTGGTATTAACCATCACAGATTCTGAGAGGGTAAAGGCTTCTCACTAGAAGGGGACCTCAAGCTGAAAGAGCAGGAAGACTTTGGTCGCTACTGCCTGGGAGCTGCGTTTCATTCGGTACTGATTCTTGGTTCCATCAAGAATGAGTGACCCTAGGGACCCACTTTACACCTGTGAAAATCAAAGGTTAATAAAAGCAGGAACAAGGGCAGATGAGGGCTGACAATAAGGGTACTTGCCCAGTTACATTTGAAAAATATGAGGAAGGAGGCTGGAGAGACAGTTCAGCGGTTAAGAGCACTGGCTGCTCTTGCAGAGGACCTGAGTTTGGTTCCCAGCACCCACATGGTGGCTAACAAGCATCTGTAACTCCAGTTCCAGGGGAATACAATACCCTCTTCTGACCTCTGTCGGCATGGGTGCGCATGAAATAAAAATGACAAATAATAAATAAGATTTAAAAATGAAAATATGAGGAAGGTGGTCTCTTTTATTGTGTCTATTCATTGTACATGGCACCGTGGCACATAAGGACATTTTCACCAAGAACGTATATTGTACACTGAGGGTACCCTCCATGTCCCCTTACCCTCCCTTTCTCCCTCACCTCCTTCTGTTAGTCCCCTTTGTTTCCCTAGACAGTTTCTCTTCTTCCACATCATATATACGCAGATGGTCTTATGTATCACTAAAAATCTAGGAATCACAAATGGGAGAAAATATATGATATTTGTTTTTCCAAGACTGGCTTAGTTTGCTTAATATGGTTTTCTTATTTATGGTTTTCATCCATTGAGGAAGGTGTTTTCTGTCCTGGCTCCCCTTCCATTCTTTCTTTCCTTAAAGAAGTGAGTGCCAGTCTGGGACAGATTCCAAGACACTGATGACATCTCAGAAGCCCTGTCACTGTGTCTACAGGTTCTGCCTGTCTGCCTGTCCCAGAAGGGCTGGTGGAGCAGACCCCTCTGCTGGACACAGCCGTTAGTCTTCTGTCTAACCTCCCTGGACACAGTGGACTAGATAAGGCTTGGCATAGATGGTAGGAGACTGCCCTGACATTACCCCTCGCTCTTCTTTCTGTCCCTGGGCAGCAGATAGGCCTGGTCACTGATGAGCTGGACGTTGATGTGCCATCCTGTGTCTCCCAAGATCAGCACCTGGTATGAGAGGCCCATGAGCCACAGGCAGGGCAGGGGCCTTCACTAGATGGGCACTGCCATGCTTGGACTGTATGGTGCGCACTCGCTGGGCACCCTGGCATGGTGTGCGCAGGCACACCTGGAGAGTTGCGGCACGGGGATTGGTACCCTGGTCTCAGCCGCGCACCCTGGAAGAAGGCAGGTCTGGCCCCGCGGGCTTCTCCGTGTCTCTGTGGGTCTCTGCTGCTGGAGCATTGTCCAGCCGTGTACCACCTTAATTTTGCCCATGCGCTTTCCTCTAGATGCGAGATCTACTGGCCACTGGATCACCGGGAGAGCGCAAGGCGGCTGAAGCTGGGATCCATGAGCCGGTGATGGAGGAATGCTGCCTCTGGAAAGGCTGGATCGCCAGTAAGACGCGGGACTCTGCTTAGTCCGTGTCACAGCTTTTATTAAGTGTAGCTTTAAGTGATCCAGCTCTCTATTATTGAGAGAAGACTGGGATATTTATACCATGGGGGTAGTGGTAAAAGCTTTAGCTGATAGATGCTTTGTGAGACATTCTATTTGCATATGGAAGTGGGTTTCTGCCATGCTGCCAGACCACTGACTACCTGAAAAATCACACAGGAAAGCATGGTATCCCTAGAGCCAGAGGCCATGTTTATGTTAGAGCATTTGTGGCGGGCACTTCAAAAGGAGTCTGGAAGGATGCCAGGTACTCTGCTGAAAGGAGTCTCAGCACATGAATCCGAGCTGCGTGAGCTGTCCGGACGTGAAGGGACTTCTACTTCACAGCAGGGGCCCCCAACA